GCCCTAAGAAAAAGTGTGCGTGTGATCGGACGCGTAATTTTGGTGGGAAAAACATGCCATTTTGGGGGGGAAAATGTGGCAGCCGCGTGTGTGCCAACCACACTTAGTTTGGCGCGAAATTTGCCACGTGTCCCGAAAACGATTGACCGCGGCGAAATATCGAGGCCTAAGAACAAGGAAAGCGCCAAATAAAGAAGTAGTTGTTCTTATCTCATCGAGATCTATTTACCTAAAGTCCTCAAGTCCCCACTCATATTTAGACTCCATTCTACGCCTTCCCTCACGCACCCCATAATACGCTAAGGATCCCGCAGATATCTTCATCTTCCACCAATCAATGACGTCTAGGACATCACGTGACAAACCCTTCTCTTCAAGTCTGATTTTCAAAGAATCTGACTCAGATCCAGGTTCATTGTCTTGACTTTTGTATTTGCTGTTGATTATTTCAGTCCATGCTTCTCTAGCGAGTACAATATCTGGCTGATCACTGGACAGCGAGTGAAGCTCTCCTTTGTAGTAGATTTTAGAGCCTTCTTTTTTGTCTTTACATTGAGCGGCCTGCAAAGGGTGCGGAAAAACAGCGTTAATAATAAATTTATTACTTGCCAGGGCACTTGCCAGTAACTAAAATAAGCCAAACAGACCAAGTAACAAAGTGCCCGAATGCAATAACTCTTTTATTCACTGGAAAAATTGACTCGGAGGTAATTTAAAGTGCCGGGAAAATAACCCAGTTGAACAATAGTCCAAAAAAGAAAAGTCAAACTACACAATGCAAATAAAAGAAATTGACCTCAGTTCGATTTGGACACACTACCTCCACTGATACTAGATCACTGTTGCTCTTCCCGCTTAGCTAGAGACCTGCCGACGGGTGACAGGAGCAGGTCAGAGGTAAGTGAGGTAATAATTCAAATCTGTTAAATTTTAATATATGAAAACAAAGTTGCACCACACAGTACCAGGGTGGGCATGGTTAGGATTGCAGTTATTGGTCTGTGCATGGTCTTTTCTGTAGAGACCATACTGTTACCCGGTCTGAATCGTCAAGACTGACAACTGATATTTTACCAGTGCTGTCCTTGCACTTGGTTAATAACATCCTAGTAAACTTCCGACAGTAAGAACAAGGAGAGCGATGTCGGACAAGCTTATGACAGGACATTATAGACCCTTGCTGTTCAATCTGCCAAGCTCCAGGTTAAATCCACTTGATGCAAGCTAGCATGTTTGCCTAATTTATGTAAACTACTTTGAATATCTCGTTACTATACTATATAAAATTAATGTATTTTCTTTCTTTCAGGCGTTAATTTCACAACTGCTTAATTATAAGTCGTGCACATTGCAGTGACGGATCCAGACCTTGAGCCAAGGGGGACCCGGTTTTGTTTTGCTTGCTCTGCCGGCTTTTCTTCCTTCTGTGATTTTTTCTCTTTTTTACCCAAAATAAGGGAGGGGGGGGGGCAGGCCCCCGGCCCCTTCCCTACATCCGCCACTGCATTGTGTACATCATTCATGTCTTTACATCTTTCTTTACAGTTCAAATCTTGCATATATACATATTCACTTGTACTGAATGTATTTTTATAATTGTGTTACTGTTCTGTTTCCTTTTTCTGACAATTTAGAGTCTTCTGATAATAGAGCAGGTAAAGAGAGAAACTAAACTGGGCATGGCTATGAATAGACCTAGTAGAACAAAACTGAGAGAAATTTTAAAATATAAGGCTGCCTGCAATCTTCAAATTCACCCCATCCTACTTTTGTGAAGTAATGAAAGTTATCAATATGTATTTCAATTTGTTATCATTTAATTACAGTGCTATCCATTATTTGCCTAACTGTTGCTACAGAGGAAAGTTTTTTCAATAATTTTTGACGACTTTTTGACATCTTTATGACAACTTCTGATGGCTTTCGTTTGAAATGGCCAATCAAACTGCAACAACTTGCCGCCAGTTCAAATGTTTGCAGGTTCAGACTTTTGAAATTCCCACGAGAAGGAATGGTGGATCTGTCAATTTAATATCTCTGCCCTCAACAGTTCCCATGTTTTAACGGGCCGGTTCAAATAAAAGCCAGCAAAAAGTTGTCAAGAGGTTGTCAAAAGATGTCAAAATTTGATCAATGACCATTTCAAGGTGAAACAGTATGGTGGGTAACTATAATAAATATTGTTAGTATAAATCTACTCGCATTCTATCATGAATGGTGTTCCCTGATTGTGCACCCTTGTCAACTATCACACGATAGAGATCCCAAGCTCATAATCTAATAATATTGTTTAATAGATAAAACTGACTTACTGGTAGAACAACCCAGCCATTATCATGGGCAATCTTGTTAACCACAGTGTTTGATCCATGAATAAACTCTCCTCCAAGATCAACTGGTGGAAATCCTTTAAATGGTTGAACCTGCTTCACTCTNGAGAAATTTTAAAATATAAGGCTGCCTGCAATCTTCAAATTCACCCCATCCTACTTTTGTGAAGTAATGAAAGTTATCAATATGTATTTCAATTTGTTATCATTTAATTACAGTGCTATCTGTTATTTGCCTAACTGTTGCTACACAGGAAAGTTATTTCAATAAATTTTGACGACTTTTTGACATCTTTATGACAACTTCTGCTGGCTTTCATTTGAAATGGCCAATCAAACTGCAACAACTTGCCGCCAGTTCAAATGTTTGCAGATTCAGACATTTGAAATTCCCACAAGAATGAATGGTGGATCTGTCAATTTAATATCTCTGCCCTCAACATTTCCCATGTTTTAATGGGCCGATTCAAATAAAAGCCAGCAAAAAGTGGTCAAGAAGTTGTCAAAAGATGTCAAAATTTGATCAATGACTATTTCAAGGTGAAACAGTATGGTGGGTAACTATAATAAATATTGTTAGTATAAATCTACTTGCGTTCTATCATGAATGGTGTTCTCTGATTGTGCACCCTCGTCAACTATCGCGTGATAGAAATCCCGAGCTCATAATCTAATTGTTTAATAGATAAAACTGACTTACTGGTAGAACAACCCAGCCATTATCATGGGCAATCTTGTTAACCACAGTGTTTGATCCATGAATAAACTCTCCTCCAAGATCAACTGGTGGAAATCCTTTAAATGGTTGAACCTGCTTCACTCTGCCACCTAGAGTGAGAATATGAGTCAAGAAACAACCTATTGTTTGTTCTGTATATTCATTGCAGGAGGTGCAGTGACCTAGTGTTAAGTGGGCTGGGCTCTAGGCCCCAAGGTTCATGCTGGGGTCATTCTGTTGTGTCCTCGGGTAAGACACTTTACTCTCACAGGTCTCTCTACACCCATGAAGAACAGGTGGATAAAAAATGGATTTATTTTTTTACCTTTGACTTTGGCAATTATAATATTGTATACTTAAGATTTGTTCAGTGCACCAATACGGTCTAAAAACCTGATCAAGCTGATATGTAATGCCCACAGTGATTAATTTAAAAAGGAAATATGAAAACTTGTAAAATACACAGAACTTGGTTATTTGACTTTGTTGTTTTGCAGAGGATGACAATGAAATGTACAAAGTTCTATAACGCACATGCATAATCATTGCTCTGCTTATTAAATCTTTTGTTTGGTGACATGCTAAAACTGTGATGTTTTGGTTTAAAATAAGCTCCCTATTAATGTCAACTTACCTAGATAGTTGGCAGCCTCCAAAAGAACAACATCAAACCCAGCCTTGGATAGGGAGGTGGCTGCAGCAAGACCAGCCAGTCCTCCACCGACAACAGCTATTTGATTATCAGGGCAAGGTCCTGCCTTTCCTAAAATGAGTGACCGAAGAGTGTTAACTTATTGCTATTTCAAGCTTCTGTACTAGGCCTGCATTCTATTCAAACCTAGTGGCCCATCAGGCCAGTGCTTATCTCCAGTTTCCGTAGCACAAAGTACCTAGGAGTCGTTCTTTACTCATGGAACTCATGCCTGGATGGGATGATGGTCCATATATAGCAGGGTCATCGCTCCCCTCTCTCTCCCAAATAGTTAATTTAATTAGCAAGTAGCCATTATACACCAAGGTGGAGAGAGGCACCGTCTGTGAGAAAGGTGACTTGCCTAAGAAAGCAACACAGTGACCCCAGCCGGCAATCAAACTTGGACCACTACCTACATAACTATTCTTTTTACAGTGTAACCCCAATCAGTTTGATGATTTGTATCAAAGATTCCCAAAATTCAACTCACAGATCTAAACATTTTAATCATAATTTAAATTTTTAGCAAAGTTAAATTTAAATACACAACCCCACAAGCTTTTAGCTTTAATTATTATTGTGTTTAAATAAAGTTTATCTATCTATCTATCTATCTACAGATTGATGAAATCAGTTTTAAAGCCAAACTTTCCAGTTTTAATTTAGTTTAAAGGAAACAGATACTGGATTTATTCTAGGACAATTCAAATGCACAGACAAATGAAATGAAAATCTTCAACATTTAAATCGAGGCTCGACCCAAACCTCAAAGGTTCATCAAATTAATGCTTCAATCAATGCCACTCTATATAAGGAGTGTGAGAATTTGTGCATGGTTTGACAGGTTTTTCAATTTTCATGTACCAACATTCAGTGGTAACAATGGCTTAACTCAATCAAGGAACAAAGGGAGAGACAATACCGATTTGGGGGGAAAAAAATCAAAACCAAAAACAAAATTAACATACATACCACTCCAAGGGAGGGAGGGTTTTACTGTATTTAACATCAGCCTAGAATTCTTTCTAAAAATGTTCATGAGGTCTTGTATCTGCTCT